TCACGAAGTTATGGCGTCTTATTATATTATTATAATAAATCTGTGTTATATATTACTGTGCACTAAAGAAAACAATGATTGGATGAGTCTTAGACATAAGCTTTTTTACTTACTTCATTTCGTCTTTCAAAAACCGAAAGAAACTCCTTTTTTTATCCCGTTTTGATGATTATAAACAGTCGTACACAGCACAATTCTCGACCATTATAAATAGTAACGTCCTATGATGTTATATATTAACGTACAAATTTCGTAATGAATAAATGAAAACTATATTCAAATATCAAATATCAAAGCCGTCTTAGCGCGAAAACGGCTCGCCGACAGCCTTGTTGTCGTTCAGTCAATGTGACCGTCAATGTGCGGGACATGGTGCGGTATCTAAAGCTAGGGAGGGGCGGAGAGTGTCCGTTCTCGTTACTTATTTGTTCTCTGGTGATGGGTAACCCTGCCACTTCACGTACACATTTGCGCGTGTGCGTGCAGATAGCGCCTTGCTGTATGTAGTAGTAGTAAGTAAATAATTTTCGACCGTTGTATAGTGCCGGGGTGTGCTGATGATACTAGACAATTGTGGAACGTACCTGAATCAGAGTACCACAGAATATGTCTACGCTGTGTACGTTTTTCGCAAAGGTCAGCTTAGCAGTAGATAACCTAATTAAGTTAATAGTTTGTCTCTCAAATGAAATGTCTATCGCTATAATATTTGAAAGCGCTCTTGGTTCAGAGGCCATCTTACTTATCCTAAATCGGGTAATACGCATTACAACCTTTTTCTATGAGTTCGCAACAAATTGATCCTAGGTACAAAAACATAAAATAATAAAATAATAAGAGATACAAATTTTCATTTGCTCTCTGCTATTGTATATAATATGTCGGAGTACAATAACCGTACTGGGAGACGTTGAGTGTAACTCCCGCGTCGTTAATTATGGCAGGAATTATTTGATAATTGGTCTATTAATTCTTCGTTATATCAATTCGTTAAACCGGCGGTTATTATAATAACGTCATTTGACGTTTTAAATTTAGAGCCAATAGGTTTGTAAGTGCACACACAACCGGCAACGTGTCAATCTTCTTCCCCGCCGAAAAACTGACACTTACAACTCCGGTGTTACCCGCTCCAAAATAATAATCATAATAACATGATAATAACTCATTGATTTAGTGAATAAACCATCGAGTGTATAACCAGAAATAGAGATGAAACGTCATTTAATTTGTTTGAAAATTATTCTGCCAGATCACTAAGGTGAGGACGCTATACTATTTCAGTTTTCATCATTTATGATTCAGGGCAAACGAGAGTTGATATTTAAAAGTGATATAAGGCCTATTTGCCTAATGAGTTGCCAGGGATGGATGGCTTATTTCGTCTCTATTTCTGGTTGTATACTCGATGGAATAAACGTACTACTCGATATTTTTATAATCTTAATCAACTATTTTAATTAGTAAATGATAAATTACGTTTTACAGCAACAAGATGTCAATACATGGCTGAAGATATTCCTCGTCAACCCAAACCAGATGATTTGCCAGAAATTGAATGGAGTGGTAAGTAGTAATGCATCTTTCGTGTATAACAAATAACGTAAAATATATACAGAGTGTACCAGACTATGAGACACGGAACAATAGGACTTTAAATATTGTAAGAAGATATTCATGGAGACATTATTTTATTTTTAAGTAAGTAATACTGCATTCAAAGATTTTCAAAAATTTACTTGCCTCTCCTGGGAATTGAACTGGTCTTGTCTACGTAATGTGAGTTACGTAGAAATTATAAGGGTCCTTTTAAGTAGCATATTTGTATATAAGATCATATTGGTAGCACCACTGTGTGGTCTATAGGTAGCACAGTATCCTAATTTGGAGGAAGATAATTACAGATAATGGACAGTACCTAATCAAATGTGTATATACACATGAACACGTGTTTAATATGCATATAATATACACATTAACACAGAAAGTATTTATATACCTCGTGTGATCATAAGATTTGCGACAAACTGACTTTAAAAAATAAAACAAAATAATACTGGGACCTGTTTAATTAATTTTTAACTTTAATTTTGGAACGTTTGTGTTCTAATTGTAAGTTTTTAAATTCATCTTTATTATTTTTCTCGTGACGGGGGGAACAAAACAGTTTCGTGCGATTGTAATTTCGCTTCATATGGCGGGAAAAAACAATGCATATATTCCGTGACATTAAATGTTGTGGGGTAAGCCGCAACTTTGTATATTATACCTGATTCTCTGAAAGATCGCCAAAGGAGTGATCGCTCGCGGTCTCTTAGAGCGCCTGGGAAGATCAAAATATCACCTTCGTAAATTACGACGCGAACGTTGTCCGATGTTGCTTAGGAGACACAATGCGAAAAAGATACGTGTCAACCTTAGAATAATAACGCATAGAAACCTAGCCCGCACACGCTAAGTGAGGCAAATTGAAGCGCGCCAAAAGGGCCTACACGAGCGGGCGGGCCTTCAGTGCTCAAGGTCAACTTGCACCGCGAACAGCTCAAGAATTTTAGCTAAAAATGACGAAATGTGCGGTAAATGAGTGTAAAAATACGTCAGACAAACATAAAATAGATACTAACATCACATTCCACAAGGAAGTAACGCGTTTCAACTTGTATTTTTATATAAATATTCACAAAAACCGAAAATTAACCTACTACTAAAGCTAGCCTACATGAATTTGATTTTTGCCTCACTTGTGACAGTTCGTTTGATATGAAACTATCATTCTATGCGTTATTATTCTATTCGCGTATCCATGATCCCACAAGTGTGTTGATATGTTTCGTTTGTATAAATTAACTATGATAGTTTCATGCTGAGCCTCAAAACTAAGACAAAAACCTAACGCAAGCAAACTCGCTTCAGGCACTCGCCGACCGCAACCGCGACACGCTCGCTTCACTCGCTCGTCTCTTGCTTTTTTTTCATATATTAACCTAACCTAAACAACTGAATGGCGGGCGCAACCAAGAAGTGACTTATGTGAAAAGAGGATCAAAACTAATTTTTGACAAATACTAATTTAGTATATTTAAACATAATGATAGTGTTACCTTTTTGTTCATTTATAATTTATCCGTAGATCAACTAATATAGACGAAACAGTTAATATACATCGATAGTTTTCTAGAATAGTGACCTATCTCAAAAGCATCTAATTTACTAGGAAGATGGTTTAAAACACCTAAGACGTGTCTACCGCGCAATTTGAAGTAACGTAGTAGACCATCTACATACAGTTATGTGATTATTTTAACCAATGAAACACACACACATTTGCAATGGATCAATCATACCGTAAACGCCGTCACTGTCAATGAACAGGTTAAAATATCCTATATACAATATTTAAAGTACCTTCTTTCTGGCTACCTATAATCAAATATTATCTATATAAAGTTACCTTTATCACCGCGTTTATTAAAAGTCATAAATTTTCTAGCAGCTTCACTTTCAAATTGTGCCTCATTTCAGGTGGATGGAGCGAACGACCTACTATCCCAGGTCCAGAGCGTGAAGAAGTCTGCATGGATACATTCGTACCGGCTGCAGGCTCGACAACAGCCACACAGGTCATTTATCTTCAAGAAGGGGTGAAGGGCGACGTACCGATAGCCAAACTTAATTATAACGGTAAGCGAAGTCATATTATCCACAGAATCGAATAATTGAAAACGTTTTTTAACCGAATTATAAGAGGTTACTTATTTTTTTTCTTTTGTGTGTATATTACGCAATTACCTACTCCAATATTCGTGAACCGATTTCGATGATTCTTTCTTTATTAGAAAGGAGGTACTTTAGTAGTGGTCCCATTATCATCATCACCATGGCGGCCGTTTTATTATCCAATCTTGGATATAGGCCTCTTCCCTCTTTTTCCACTCTTGACGATCCTGTGCCCGACTAATCCAGTCCCGACCTCCTTGTCGTCGGGTGTCGTCCAACCAGCGCGGCGGTGGTCTGTCGCGCCCTCTGATGTCCGCTCTGTGTCTTCACCCAAGTACTCGCCTTGTCCAGCGCCTCTCGTCCATTCTCGCAATGTGCCCCGCCCATGTCCACCTTTTCTTCGCCAATACAAACATGACATCTTTAACTTTGGTCCTATTTCGGATGCAAGCGTTGCTTTTTCGGTCTCGCAGGGTAGCTCCGAGCATTGCTCTCTTCATGCCCCTCTGCGCGACTCGGAACCCACTCGGTCGAGGTACTCCAGTATCCCATTATAATTTGAAAAAAATATTCCACCTGTTAAGGGTGACAAATAAGGGGATAAATCCTGTTTATTCGATTTTACCCATTTTATAACAATAATTATTATTATTTATTCCAGTCCATGGACCATATTAAGAAAATACAATTCAACTCAATACAATTCCACACTTTTAAAACACTTAATAACTTTAAAAAATAACAATTATAATGTTACATAAAAAATAAGTCAAATTAAAAAATAACACTTATAATAATATAAAATAAAATAAGGTTAATTGAAGTCAAGCTCACCCTACGTGGCGACTTCGAGCCAGCGGCGACGGTTGTGCATCGACGTGGTAGTCAGGCGAGTAAACAACTCTCGAATTAAGCCTAGCCATACGACGTATCACGATGGCACAGGACGTGTCAGTACGAGCTTGCATGAACATGCCAGAAGCGCAACAGTGCCGCTCCAGGCCCGTCAAATATATATAAATGTCTGAATTTTAACCGATTTCAATAAAATTTGCCAAATAGGTAACGTGACCATACGTCCCGCTTTTAAGCTTCGTGTTCCGCTGTCCCCAAAGTGCTTATGGTTTTTGAATAAAACTTATGGCCGCAACTGGTAAACCACTAGTGCCGCATCCATCGAGTAGTGACTGCGACTGGTGGTCGCGTCTAGTGGCTTGTCTCTGCCACTAAGGCCGCGGCCACACTACTAAGGCGACTGCGACGCGACGGCAATTTCGTGAAAACAAACTCGTATAAACATAATTATGTCGATGGCCGCACTGCAGAAACGACAAGCGAAATTTAATTGTTAACATCGTAAAGAAATTTCAAATGTTGTACAAGTAATGAACCGCATTAAATAAAATTATTCAGTGACCCGCGACGACACTTGAATTTCGTACAACAACAACTTTCGGACAAGCAGCAGTGCGACACGGCGATTTGTCACGATTTGCGACAAAATATGCGATGATACGGCCTCGAGGCGTTCGTGCGAAAGAGCACGACATATTCGAGCGAAGAGTTGCGAAGAAGACACCGCACGATGTAAACAAAATAGTTTGAATTTGTCGTTCAACTGTATAGTTGAACTAACGCACTGACGCCGCACTCAGTCAGTCAGTGCGGCCGCCACTGATCGCCTAACCTGCCCGGTGCCACCCATTAATTCGCGCGCGGCCCAGTGCGGTCCCGGCCTAATAGTCGCGTTAGTGGCTGCCACTGGTGGCCAGTAGGCGGGGGCACAGTTGTGTAAATAATTTTCTAATAATATTAATTTCAGGGCCCGGGACTCCCGAGATACGAATACCAATTCTCGTCGGTTCGTTCAATCTCCTGGGTCCGAGGATCGTTAGGAGTGAAAATGACGAGTGGTTGCTTGTCATTACTCAAGAGTAAGTGTATTTAGATTTACCTAGTTTTGCTAATAAGTTCCATCTCATAACAATTACACTGTCTACATCCGACGGTAAAATGAACCTAACAAAGATTTATTTGAAACATAAAAGAAGGATTACGGCCTTAGATTCATTGATTGAATAATAATAATTCAAAATCAATCTTTTAGATCTTGGGAGAGGCGAGAGTCTAAAATAGATATCCAATATAATAATAATCATAATAAGAACTGTCGTAAGTAACTATTGCATAGTTAAATATTGATGTTTTATACTTGCATCGCAGTTTTGTAACACGGTTATGGGAGTATGATATAAAAATAAAAATTAAATACTAGAGAATTCTGAATTTGAGGCACTCTTGTTCAAACAACCAAAAACACAATAATAAATAAGTGCGTTTACAACATGATGTCATTTTTTTAATACCGTGCGAACGCTTCAATTCAATAAATAGTGCAACTCGAGTGCGCGAGTGAGAGCTACTACGTTGTGTCAGGACTCCGCCACTCGCTCGAGGTCACGCGATAAGTGCCTACCGCTCGCTGAGTGTATCGCCGACAGTACAAGCGCTCAGACAAGTTTTTGATTTACATTACAATCCTTGTGCAATCCTAGCATTCGGTTCCGCACGACTGCACAAGCCAGACAACGTTATTTTCACTTCTCTGAGCGCGTGATTAGGTTTATTTTTCCCTCGCAGTGAGCGCCTGGTGTATTTTGTCAGATTTAGAAGGCTATTACAGCGTACGTACTTTCGATTTTGTATGAGAGGGATGTATCTGTTAAGTTAAAGTCAAAACATCATTTATTCCATAGGTAATATTTTTATATTTGAAAACGAGTAACTATTCTAGCAGTAATCTGTGGTTGTGTACTTGTCTTCTTACGGTATGACAAAACCACGGAAGAAAAAAGCAAAGGAAGGGCCTTAAGGCGTTAATCGGTTGTCGTCTTTCAGCTATTACCGCTAGATGGTAGCACATTGAATGAAACTTCAATAAAAAACCAAACCATCATAACTTGCAATAATACGTTTTGAAGTTTCAATGATATATCAACAGGGTAAAATTTAAATTATATCGATAGTCTACAAGTTTGCCATAATAATTAATAGAAAGATCGAACACAACTCGGCCTATTGTAGCTCAGTTGGTAAAAGAGCAAGGGACGGAATCCCGTGGTCACAGGTTCGTGTCCTGCTGGGTCGAAGAGAATTTTGCTTTGTGTTAGATTTTTGCATTAATAATTACAGAAAAACTAGTGGAGTTATTTTACAATAATCCCAGTACAGAGTACTACAAAAACCGACCTCAAATGTCGTTCATCCCCTAGTTAGCCGCTCTTACAGGTGGAATATTTTCTTCAAATTTAAATGGGACCACTTACGATGAATCCTCTTTCCAACAAAAAAAGAATTATCAAAATCGGTTCACTAGCCGGAGTTAGTGCGTAACATACATATTAAAAAAACATATAGCCGAATTGAGAACCTCCTCCTTTCTGAAATCGGTTAACAAATATATGAATAATGTAGAGTCCACAATTTGTTACATCTTTTTAAATTAGAAATACCATGAATCATTAGCAAGATCTCATAGTGTTTAACATTATGATAGTGTAAGCTTTGGCGATAGTAATCGATGCTTAGGCCCTTCCATTGTTTTTTTTTTCTCCCGTGAGCTAAGTATTTGTAAAACAATTCCCATTAAGACATAATTAAATTAATATGTAATCTAGTAATAGTAAGGCGTCTCTTAACATGACATAACATTAATTAAATGTTTTTTTTATCTGGCTTATCTCTTTATTCGTCGATTTTCTTCCTCAGACAAGACTTCGAGTCTCCTGGCATGCAACAATACATGTTTGAAATCAGCGTGACAGGCGAGTCTGTGTCGGTGCTAGTGAATTTGTTAATCGCCAACATCGACGACAATGACCCTATTATACATTCTATTGCTGCTTGTCAGGTCCCCGTAAGTATTGGTTTGTATTTGCATCGTGATAACGCTCTAAACTGGGGCCCTACTCTAGAAGCACGAAATCTGTAGTTACGACCGTTTTCCCACTATCGATGACCTGCGGAATTGACTGTTCGAAACTGTCACACTGGGCCGTTCGAAACTCTCGAATCGCAATGTCATACATTCTTAGTTCTAGCCCCGATCGAAACTCAAGTCTGTAGGTACGGATTTCATGCATCGAAAGTAGGACCCCTGACACGCTTGTAAAAGCCTGTTAAAAACAAATGTATTTTGTTTGTTCACAAATCCTTTTGAATACAAAGTTAAAGCTAAAGAAAGCTGCGGTATACTGAAAATTTAATGAATACCTCTGCTATGCCTATGAGTGGAGGATTAAGTGAATTTTTATTTTGTGACAAGTCCCACGTGCCTATAATTTCACCAGCACCCTTGCCCTTCTAAATCGGAACGCAGTAATGCTCACATTACTGCTTGGCGGCAGAAATAGGTAAGGTGGCAGTACTTCACTGGACGAACTCTTTCACAAGGAGCTCTACTGCTACTAGAATATTTCACAGTACGAACTAGACACGACCCGGTAGTTGCGTGAATTCCCGAGACTGCGCGAGAATTAATATATCAAAGTATTAAGTATAATTTAGCCAAACTCGGTGTAGTATAAATAGCTTCTTTTCAAGAATAAAGGCCCAACTCAAAATAAATAATTCCATTTTGATCGTACCTACTGAGATTTCTTCAAAACATGTTAAATTTTGAAATGAAACTATTTTTCCGCATTTAAATCGCGTATATTTGTTTTTTCAAACTAACCGACGTTTCGGGCCCTTTACAGGTCCCATGGTCACGGTTGACTGTTGATTGATGAGGTTGATTTAAATCCGGAAAAATAATTTCATTTCCTATGTGTAACAATCGCGAAAACCCAAGAACTCGATATGTTAAATTTTATTCTAAATGGGACACCGAACCTTTCATTAATTTGATTATAGTGACCCTGTGCCTACCGACCCTTAGGGTATACGAGAAGGGCACTATAACCTGTGCAAGCAAGCCCGCACAGGGACCTTCTTAGTCAAGTCCTGACCCCAGATCAGCCCGTTTGCACATGCTTCATCCGGTTCTCTAGGCTAGTGCTTTGGGTGAGCTGCCCCGGATGCTCGTACAGCTCCCTCCCCATTGTCCAGATAGGTACCAGAGCTGTTCCCATTGTAAATTACACTACTAACAGTTACCACCGCTAAGCCGTTGACTCCAAAGTCCATTACCGAAGCTCCAAAGGTTATCAAAGGTTGGGACAGTCTATAATATTTCAATTTTACGCGGCAGATACGTCTCAATTATTTGAAACCATCTTCCTTATGGATTAGATGCTTTTAAGATAGGTTAATTCTAGAAAGCCATCGAAATGTCAACAATGAAAACATGATTTTTAGGACATGAAACTATTTTTCCGGATTTAAATCGCGTATATTTGTTCTTTCAAACAAACCGACATTTCGGGACTTTTACAGGTCCCATAGTCACGGTTGACTGAGGTGGTACAGTCATCAACCAGCTATATATATATATATATGTACGCATAATAATTAATGAAAATTAAGAAATATTTATATGTATTAACACGACGCGCTATGTACTTGCTTCGGTCCGCGAAAATGATGATCCGAATTGAAGGTATTCTCATTTCTGAGATTCGGAACTGGGGCCCTACAATTTCCGAAACAATTACTGTCAATTATGTAATACTCGACAATATTACTTTTAATAAAAATAATAACTAATAATGCCCAGACCCTTGTTCGCTTCTATTTACTATTACTTTTTTGTTTGTATTTTACTTTCTCTTTTTTTTTAAACTGGATTAAATAGCTTTTTTTTAAGTTCTAATTTATCTACATTCATGTTGTTTTTGTAAGCTGTGCTTACTTGTAAGTGGTTGTGCAATTAAATAAAAGATGTAACAAAATCACATAACAGGCAACTCATATTAGTTCCGTCACGCACCGCTAGATGGCATTGGCGTCGAAATCGCAAATTCTGCATCGCGGTGTTAAGATTTTCCATCGCGGAATGACTACTGGCGGCGATGTGTATAATGTAATCCAACTTACGACGCATCTAGCTCTGCTTCCTTATCTGGAACTCCGCTTTAGATCGTTACCGTTGAACCCACTGCACTGTGCTACGCTTCTAGCGCTGCTTCCTAATTGGAACGTGCGTACGGGTCCTCGACTACGTGTCGATTAGGGGGAGTCCTTTCCCACTTCACCATCGACGTTGTACATCTGTGTATGTTGTCAAATAAAAGCACCATATTGAAAACCTGGTTTCCCTCTGTCACCCCGATAAGAATTATTACAGATCTTCTATAACTACATTTAATTTTAGTAAGTAACATTGTAATAACTGTAAGTGAACCTATAAAAAAAAATAAAAAATAAAATAAAATAATGTTGTCGAGTATTATTAGACAATGTCTAATATGAAGCTTCATTCGCATCATGCGTATTTTAATTTAATCGAGTATTAATTATCGTCGCCTTACTTTCTCAAACTCGTATCTTAAAGCTCAAAGTTACTGAAATGCAAAAAATGGATTGTATATACAAATTTTGCAGGCTGTTTTCACATCACATTCCTTCATATTCACACACTGGCTTTTACCTATTCTTAAAGCATCCAAATTAACACCATTGATAAGAAAATTAAAATAAATAGAAAGTTTTGCCGTCTCCTGAACAATCAATCTTTATAAGATACGAGTTTGAGAAAGGAAGGCATCGTTATGTGACAGTAATTGTTTCTGACGGATGTCACAAGAAGAACGAGAGTAAAGGGCCTGATACGGATTCCTTCAAAACCGGAACGCAACAAAGATCACGTTACTGCTTAGCGGCAGAAATAGGTAAGGTGGCAGTACTTCCCTGGACGAACACTTTCACAAGGAGCTCTACTGCTACTAAATGAACTTAGGACCTTAGGCAGTGAACACTAGACCTTGAGTGGCTGTCTAATAAACAATTCATTCTTAGGTGAGGTTTTTTTCAGGGGAGCATACTTAGGTCTTCACGACTATTTCTAAATGTTTATTTGACCTTAACATTGATTGTAAATGCCTAATTAAGAGCCTCAAAAAGAGAATAAAACGTTCTATAGTAAAAAATAACTGTTAGGCACTTTACGGTTCTTTACCTCTCACTACAGAATTATAAATGAAATCAAATATGTTTAATTCGTAAGTGATCACATTACACTTCAAATAGTCACATCCATTCAAAGATCAATTTCATCACAAACATTTAATAGCTGAAAGTACACCATGCGTTCGCATCATCTATGTGTATGTGGTTATTTATTTATATTATAGGAACTCGGCGAAGCGCCCCGTCTCACAGATTGTGCTTACCGAGTATCTGACTTAGACGGAGAGTTGAGCATCCGCGTGATGACATTCGAGATCAACAGTGACCGCAACGATGAAGAGATCTTCAGCATAACTTCATCACGGATCCCCTTCGACCAGTTCAACATGACCATGACCATTGGGCTTCAGACTACGCTCAATTTTGAAACTTCTCCATTACATATCTTCCAAATCACAGCGTTGGTAAGACCTTCTCGTTAAATTGGGCAAAAGAATTATTTCACAAAATTATTGACTTTGAAATAAACGCATTTGAAATGTAAATTGGTAACTCTTCTAAATAGATCTTGGCCTGGGTGTTCTGGGAAGTGCCTGAAGAGTGAATTGCGTTGCACTGATACTCGTAGGGAATTCCCTAGATTGAAATCATGTAATTGGTGTGGTGGTGTGGAGGTCTGGCACATAATATGTGCGAATTAGTAAATAAACATGCCTTCTATATGTTATAAATTAATAAAACAAAGATCGAATACTAAAAAAATCCGTCGACCCGGCTGGATTCGAACCAACGTCTTCCAGCAAACCGTGCCAAACGCTATGACAACTAAGGCCACGGAACGAACTTGCGGAACGAAATTTTTCTATATGCTTGTTCTGTTTTTTTCGATTTTTAAAAACTTTTTGCCGTAACGACATCTATGAGACGTGAGTACATCTGTGAGTACGGCAAAAAAGTGTTTAAAAATTAAAAACAAAGATCTGCAACAAGCACAAGAAAACTATGGTAGGAAATTTTTCTAAGTGTTCGATGTTTGGATTAATAGTTACAACCAACTAGTGGAATAATTTCACAAACATAATTGAATATCCTGGTTGGCTAACATCGTGACATTTAATAAATTTAAAACAGTGTCTTAAATATGTTTATATTTCTAATGTCTAACCGAGGATAGTGAAACTGTAGACTAATTTTGTTACAAATAAATGAATCATCTATTATTATAATTATTAACTTATTTCAAGGACTCTGTGGAAAATTCCCACACAGTAACCCAGATGGTACAAGTGGAGAATGTCGAGCACCGCCCTCCGCGGTGGGTAACTGTCTTCGCAGTACAGCAGTTCGACGAGAAGACCGTCCAGAGTTTCACCTTGCGTGCAATTGACGGCGACACGGGCATTAACAAACTTATTGACTATGAACTTGAGAGGGATGAAAATGGTAGGTGCCACTAAAAGATAACTTGATCGATACAACCTAATTCTAGGATGAATATAGATGACGACTTCCGTGATCGAGCGGCTTGCACACCGGTTTTCATGGTGTGGCCATCGCTGAGGTCCCGGGTTCGATTCCCGATTGAATCAATGTAGAAAAGTAACTTTTCTATATTGTCTTCTGGTCTGTCTGGGTGTTTGTGGTACCGTCATTGTTTCCGATTTCCATAACACAAGTGCTATACTTACTTACTTTGGAATCGGAGCAACGTATGTTATGTTGTCTAATATTTATTATGTATCTATCTAAGAAGCAAAGGCATAAAAAAACGTATTCGCGACTTTTACTATGTCGTCGACCCAGCGTGCAATTGCAATTGGACGATCCAGATTTCTTCGGCCTATCCTTGGCCACTTCGTTAGAGCCTTACTCCAACGGCCACCAAGCATCCGAGGATAATCAAAATTAATTAATATATCCATTGTGGATATTCGCGTCGTTATGGTTACCCGAAGGGGCGAGGATTACGGCACGCTGGAATAATTTACAAATCATCCAGAGCAAAACACTGCAAGCCCAAAAAGCAGCTGAGCCTCTACTTGTCATAAAATTTCAGTATAATCAAGCTAGGCAGATTGATTGATTTTATGCAGGTTGATTTTTTGTTAATAAATATCACAAAATTATTAAAATAGTTTTTTCATGTAGATTGAATAAGGATTGCACAAATTTTTCAATTTTTTTGTAATAATAATAATAATAATAATTTATTTTAAGCCTTTTTCAAATAATGGTGTATTGTAACTAAATAAGTGCTAGTTTACCATGTTTGGATTGTTAGTAATTGACTCAAGGTTATCTGTCCTCTGACTTTCAACCTGTGTTATGAAAGATAGTGGTTCGGTTATTTAACAAGTTTACAAGCATATTTATGGTGCAGTATAGAGAATATTACAGAGAGAAAAAGAAAACAAACAAAAGACTTAAGGTTAATGATTAAAGTTATACATAATGGATGTAATAAGGTGAGTGTGAGAGAGTAAAAATGCGTATGTACATGCGTTGGGTGTGTGTGTGTGTGTGTGGGTGTGTGTGTGTGTGTGTATGTATGTGTGTGTGTGTGTGTGTGTGTGTGTGTGTGTGTGTGTGTGT